CTAGCCTTGTCCAAGCACATAACATGAGCACTAGAACAGATTAGATCCATTTGTGCCAACTTGGGTAGTAAGAGGACAAATGTTTTTTCGGGCCAAAGCAACCATGGCAAGGCAACCATGCCTATTGTGAGCACAACCTTACTACCTGATCCTCCAATAGCACATACTTACCTTTTCTTCTTACTTCTGCCTGACCTTCCATCCATTCAGCCAATGGGAGCAAAGAAAACACCCGGTATTTCCAGGAATGGGTGAGCATCTCCATCACTCTGTGACAGCGCTAGTGTTTGGTGATTTTGAGTACTATTACATGGGGGTTGATCAGTTATAGATAGAATTCAAGCTTATGCAGGGTTTCCTATCCCTGCTCCTGGGGGGGGGTGAACAGGGAGAGGTGGGGGGAAAGCAAATGTCCTTCCGGGGGAGCAGCCTTTGCATTAAGACCTTTACATAAGGAAAGCACAGGTTCACTTTAAATGTTTTTTTTTAAGCTGTCTTCTATAAAGGACGGACTGAAAACGATCTCTTTGTCATTATATTTTGCAGGAACTCTCTGTGCAAACAGTAGATTTAGGCTCTAATATCAGTGAGTATTGATCACGGTCACTGCGAATAGGTAAAATGAACAGGAATGTGACCTAGATACAGAGCACGGTTTGATATCAGCAGTGTGAGCAGACGCAGGATACATAGAGGGGGGGGGATGAAGGGAAGGGATGCAGAAACATCTTACAAGGCCACTTTCAGAACTATCTTCCCATCGCTTTGACTTGTACTCCACCAAACAAAACCCAAAAAAGACTGCTCCAAACATGAGACAGCTAAAAGCCACTTCAAATCCTTTTTATTGATCACTTTAAATCTAGCATGATCCAGTATTCTTGTCATTATCCCTATTCAACAAAGGCATTGAAATACGGACATGCCTCATCTTTACAAGCGCAGCGCAGCGCAGCGCAGAGAAGTGAATGGGCCAATTGGATTACATGTCTTAATTACACGTAAGTGGTTTTGCGTTCTGCAGGTGTGAAATGGGCCTTAGTTCACGAAAAAAAAAAAAAGTGAACGAACCCACAACACCCTTCCCACCTTCCCCCACCGCCTGGTACCCGCTGCACTTAGCTGCTGCCATGACCATCTACTGCCCCCCACCCAGCCGGTATAACGGGTTGCTCACTTCAAACCCTGTAGCATTCGAATTCTGGCGAGATTGGTTAGTGCGACTGGCGACCAAAGAGATGGAAAATCTAAACTTTAAGGGTTCATTCAGAAGGGCGTGCACTTCTGTACGGTGCGCATGCCTGTAAAAAGACCTGATACCGGAAGGGTCAGGTGCTGCGTGTAATTGCTCACAGTAGCCAGTTCTTGCCTATGGGAGGCACAGACATGTGCGATTCGTTCCGGAAGAATTTTCGTTATTCGGAGATTCGGATGTATCCGAATTTCCAAATAACAGAAATGACGAATGAAAATGAATCCGAATTTCCGAAAAATAAATTTCGGACAAAATTTGTTAGCGGTAGTCTGTAGGGATTTTCGTTTGCGGGCGAATATTCGCTGCAGCAAAGTGACATTAAAATTTTTTTTTAAACGTCACTTTGTTACAACGAAACAAAAACGAAAATACGTACAGAATACCGCTAACAAATTTCGTCCGAATCCCGAAACGAATAGACTTTCGGACCCGATTTCTGAAAAACGAAGTAACGCAAAATCCGAATCAAAACTAAACAAAACAAATGTTTTGCTAGTGCACATGTCTAGTTCAGGGAAGCTATACTACTTTAATATTAAAAAAAATAGTTAATATAAAAAAATCTAGAGATTCACCAAAATGGAATATACTTTACTTTTAGGGGCTTCGGGGGGAATATTGGGGGTATAAACAGACTTCTGCTATTTCCCTTTTAAAAAAGAAAAAGAGATTGAGGACACTATACTGAGTGTTCCTGTTCATTCATAACATGACAGAGTATATTTACTATAACCACAATCATGAATGAACAGGAGGTGATGTACAGCATTGCCCATTCATTCATAATTGAGGATATAGTAACTATACTCTGTCCTCAATTATGAACAAACACTCAGCGATCACTGATCTCTTAGGGTATTCATTCGCTCTCCTTCCTGACCACTGTCACAGGAGGCTGAGCGAGCAGTGCAGGAGGAGAGCTCAGCCTCCTGTGACAACGCGGGCTGTCTCCGCCCACACACCGCTCTGCTGTGATAGGAGACTGAGCGGTGTCGGAGGAGAGACCCCGGCCGCTCACAGTGCTCTCCCACCGCAGCGCTCTGTAGCCTGTCACACTTTCTCTCCTCCCCACTGGGACACAGAGCAGCACCCAGCGGGGAGGAAAGAAAGCAGGCATTTAGCCAAAAGTGCCATTTTCGGACGATATGTTTCGGTGGCCAATATATCGGTGCATCACTAAAAAAATCTCAGCAGTCATTAAAGTGAACCTGTGCCACGTCTAAACTGCATAGAGTAACCTAAGATCCCCCTTGCTTCCCACAGTGCAATGGTAAGAGACTGAGTGGTCGATCAGGTCTGAGTGTTGTCACATGGGGTTAGCGATGGGAAAGCACAGGGCCATCAATATAATGAGGCAGCCTGACGCGGTTGCCTCTGGTGGCATCTCATTGGGGGGGAGCGGATGGGTGGTGGACAGTTTTGCTGTAACTATTAATTCAGTTTATGTTTCTTGATATACAGATGACCAGTGGAGCAGCGGTCGCCAATCTTTCGGACCTCATGGACCACTAAATTCATAATTCTAAATCCCGGGGACCACGAATATGAATTTAAAAAAAATATATATTCTCATATTTTTTGTTTCCTCATATATAAATATATTCCACATCCAATCACTATCCAAATCCTGCCGCCTTCACCTTCGTAAATATTAAAATATAAGACGGAAGGGACGGCATTGGCGTTCCTTAACTACAAAAAATGTAACAAAAAATGCAAACTAGAAATCCGGGCAGCTAAAACGGAGTGCGAAAACAGGAAAATTGTATTTCATACTTACCGCAATTTTCCTTGCCTGACGGCTCCATGTCGGCATACGAGTGGGTACAGGCTCCGCCCCCCCCATCTGATAGGACTAATAGCTCATAAATTTGAGCCTCCCCCCAGCCAATGTGTTACATAACTAGCAACTCCGACTGGGCGGGAACTATGCCGACATGGAGCCGTCAGGAAAGGAAAATTGCGGTAAGTATGAAATACAATTTTCCTGTTTCCCTGACTGCTCCATGTCGGCATACGAGTGGGAAATAACTCGCAAATACACAAGGGCGGGAATGCTAGTAGTTTAATTGCATACAGAAGAAGAGGCCACAACCCTACGGCCAAACTCGACCGTCGTCAAGGCCGCCGGCTCAACACAGTAGTGCCGCATAAAGGTATGCACCGAGGACCATGTAGCCGCCTTGCAGACCATCTCCGGCGAGACACCGCTCATAGCTGCCCAGGAAGTTGAAATACTTCTGGTCGAATGCGCTGTCGCATGCCCTGGAAC